TCCTGCATAGTACATTAAATGAGTTCATATAGTAAAACACATCCTATCATTTCCCTCCTTGGCTTGACACCAACTAAAGCGAGGTACTTCAGCTACAAACGAGATACCTTTGAGAACATCAGACAGTTCTACAGAGACAGAATTAGTACAATAAATTGAGTTTGTGTTGTAAAAAATATCTTATTATTTCCCTTTTTGGCATGACACCAGCTGAACAGATGTACCTCAAGTTTCAGCATCTTCCCATCAAACTTTAACTGCTCTAGGTTGAGGAGAGGAGAAGTGAAGACAGTGTTTTTGTTTTGCAGAGGATTTAGAAGAAGCCGGCATGTTCAGTGAGCAGTAAAGCTCTGGATTTTGACCACAGATAGGAGAGGCTTTGATAGTGAGAGCCATTGTTGGAGCGATCCCCTCAGATTGAAGGAGGATAAGCTGCTCGGGGGACGCGGCCAGAGCTGAAATCTTTTAGGCACTGTCATTTCTCCAAAAAGAGGGGATCCATCATCCCTTTGATGATGGAGTTTTAATTATTAGACGATGGGAAGAAATGGGCCATGGAGAGATAAGTGATGGGAGAGAGGAGTTTGTCTTTCGGGCATTAGCCCTGCAGATATACAAATGTGTGAAGGAGTGTGTGTGTTCTCAATAAGATCACGTATCACTTTGATCCTTCAAGAAGTGCTCTGTGTGTGCGGAAGAGTATGTTAATGTTTGTACTTTGATCTTTCCAGCACTCATTCACTATTTCTCACATGATGAACACTATCGGGTGATCTATAGTAAGTAGTATTAAATCGAGATGTCAGACATTTATGAATTATTTGTATGGTATCTTTTGTTAGAAACAATGGAGGACTGGTTTAGTTTAGGCATAATTTATATTTACAGATTAGGGATTGGGTCTTCTTGGTCTAAAGTCTTTTATCACTAACCGCTGTCTACTCAGGAAGCCACTAAAAGTTGGCCTTTGATTCCAGCACTAACATTGTCATCAGATGATTGCTAATAGATTCTTAGATTGGTTCAGGAACAGCACTGATGTCCTGTGTTCATTAGCTGATTAACATCTACTGTTTCGATCATGGCTTCACCGCCACTTGTGAATATAACACCTGACTTGCATTGGCCAATCACACAATAATTCATTAAGGATGCACCTATCTGACTTTTCCAATCACTACATGGGCTGTTGGAATTGTTCAAAACACTTCTGTTATAATCAGTCTCTTAAGTGTTTCTCAATAATAACTTTAAAGACACAGCAAGAAGCCTTAGAACTTGATTACCTCCAAAAAGCTGCCACTTAGGCTCCCTTCTTCTTGCTTCAAGTAAAATGGCTACCAAGTGCAACATTGGTGTATAACATACCAAAGGCACAAACATGTAACCGTATTATTGGTAAATGGTAAATGGACTTGAGCTGGTATAGCGTCGCATTTGACACCCATTCACACGCTGATGGCAGAGGCTGCAAAGTAAAGTGTCCATCAGCATTAACGAATCCATTCATACACATTCACATTATTTGGGGTTAAGTGTCTTGCCCAAGGACACATCGGGTGTAACTGTGTGAGCTGGGGATCGAACCCCCGACCTTCCAAGTTGATAGACGACCGACAATACCACTGAGCACAGCCGCCCCACTGGGCTGAATATATTGGTAGAGGATCTACCATTCTCTCCCACTGACACCCATACCTGTTCCAGCTATTTCAAATTGTTGAGTTGTATTGTAAAGCACGGCTATTATAACCTGTAACATTTTACTCTGTTCATTATAATTTTCTGCTGTGACAGCACTCACACACGAGGCTACATTAATAAAAAAAATGACAAATTTCAAAGTCTCAACAAGTGGAAGTGTAATTGACTTCATTTTGTTCTGCAGTTCAACAGTTCTGCACTTTCTTTATCCTGTAATCTGGTGCAATGGTTGTTGTCTTTCATCTAAGGGTGTTTAATATGTGAAACCTTTACCAGCTTTCTAGTTAGGCTGTTGAAAATGAAGTTTTTTTTCCTACCAACAGTCCTAAACCCAAAGATCTCTGTGTGTTTGTGTGTTCACATACATACACTAGCACATTCTGTAGCCTATAGATGCTTATCCCATATGCCCTGTATTACAAGCCTGATATTATTTGTTTCCGAGTAGAATTAAATTGCTCGAGTTTGTTTTTATTATGATCAGATTATGGCCGTATGGTGTATTGTACTGTTTGTGCAGTGGATTTTATGGTGGTTTTATGTTCCGAGCTCTGGACCAAACACATTTCCCTGCGCAGGATAATAAAGTTAATCTGAATCTGTTTCCACAGGGGCGTGTAAAACTGTTATATATCACAGGCGCATATTATCCTCACTCGGCCTAAAGAGGTAAAAAAAACAAAGAACTATATAATCCAGGTGTTCTTAAACGCTCTGCAGGAGGCTTTAACCTTCCCTGTTGGCCGTTGTGTAGCCTATGTTTAAAGCTGCAGGTCCAATTAAACTGGACCTTAAGAGAAGCAGAAGCTTTTACAATCTGAGACAGAAGTGTGTCTCCCTCTTTTCCGTCCCAACTCTCCCTCTGCAGGATCCCATTTCAACCCCGGCTGCCACGTCTTTGTCCGTCTGACCGCGTATCTCTCTCCCTGTCACTTTTTGCTCTCGCCCCATCCATCTGTGTCTCTCTCCATCCTCTCCTCCGCACTCTCATTCTCTTTCTGTCCATCTCTTTGTATTAACATCCCCTCAGCATGCGTTTTCTCCCCATTCTTTTCATGCTTTTTAGTGCACTGCATTTTCATGCATGCCCCTTTTTTTCTCAGCTTCCCTGTCAGAGTGGCCCTCTTGCTCTGTCTGTGTAGAACAGTGTGGCGGCTGTAAGCGGTGCCCCGACGTCATGGCACATGGCTGCAGCATCCTTGCTATAAATAAACCGGCCTCGTGGTGCTCGGTCCAAGGCAGGACAGAGAGCCAGAGGGAGAGCAATCTGCTGTCTCCCTCAAGAGATACTTGAAGGGGGAAGGTGTAAATTTTACTGCTCCACTTGGTTAATAAAGTGATTCTGAATTTATCGTGATTCTAGTAGAAAGCAAACATCATGACAAGTACGAGGATAATCAAAGATAAAAAGCTGAAAACAAGAAGCTGTTAAATAACAATATTACAACCTCCTTAATTTACTTTGTTATATTAAGTCAGACTCAAATATGTTTTTGTATTCTGTGGGATCTGGTTTCACTAACTTGTGTTTAAGAAAAATAAATGTAAGCTAAAGCTCAAAGGACACATTGTAGGGTTAGGGTTATGTGTGAGCAGACTAATTACAGTATTTGTAGCATTCATGTAAGTGTAGTTATAGATCTGTTATTTGGTCTTACCTTCCTGCGTTTAGAAACCTTGTATCAGCAGGACTTTCCATGTACCCACAGAGACTCCACAGGTTTCTAATGAAGACACAAAATTAAGCTGATGTAACTCTAGCAGCATCAGTTCTAACCTGTTAAAAACAACTTAAAGTTAAAACATCCAAAAATTGGAGCCTCTATTACTCCTTGAAATTAAGCTAAAACTAATTGTGACCATTATGCAGAACTTTCTGTAAATAAACTTGAAGTAGTTAGTTAGCGGGAGGGCTAATATTACCTTCACCACGGAGTCAGTGTTTCCTGTGCTCTTATATCATGACACTTGGTGGAAGGGTGATGCATGGGCAAAGGAAGAAACTATTACATGTTGGACTACCTCAGACTCACACAGAAGCATTAATATTGAGGCCAACTCCCAAACAATGAATCAGTGTCTCCAGGCTGAATGTACAGTGCCCATAACAACTGGTTTGGATACAAGCTGTCAGTTTAAGAACACTTATTTGTACATACTTAAATGTGCATACAAACATATATGTGTTATGCCTGTGAAATATCTTTAGTATAAAGACATAAAAATGTACAGATGATATGATGATGCTTCCATATTTGGACATAATACTTTTTATCTGGACATATGGTGGTTAGACTCGCAGATTTGCATACAACAGATGTAGCTCTATTAGCATTGTCAGATTTATGCCATTTCTGAGTGTCTTTCTAGCTACAAAAAAAAATCTGAGCAGTAAACAGTCCGCTCATTCTCTTCTCTCTCTTACTTTGTCCTCATGGTTCTAGTTGTTGGTTTTGCTTCTTTTACTCGTTGAGGCCTTGAGGTGCTGAAAAAACAACTGGTTGGCCTTCTAGGGAAAACCCTGAAGGACAAATATGAACATGTTTGTTGTCTTTTTAAGTTTTACTGCACACGGTTTGATTGGAAAAGTCGCTGGGAAAATGTATTGGCTAACTGCTTGTGTTGTTTGAGATCCAATTTTGAACCCTCTATTGGGAATCGATGGGCTTGTCAATGGCCTAGTAGAATAACCAATCGATGCATCTTCCCAGAACTCGACCTCCCGATCATGCGTGTTTCTTAAAGATCTGTTTGTGTTAGAGCTTTGCTTTGTGCCTTCCACAGTGAACTTGCAGGCAGATGCTGCTCTGTAGAGTCATGATGCCTAAAGCCAGCTGTCACCTTCATAACATCACACTCTTTCTACCGTTGTGGGTTTGCAGGGAGGGGAAAAAAGCTGCAGGAAAATGGTTGAATAATTCTTATATTTTCTCTTTACAAGCGAAAGAAATTTGTGATGTCGTTGTTTGTCAGCGTAGCTAAAAAACTGATTGAGATGTTCCAGTTTGTGCTCCCCCTGTGGCCATATGGAAAATATAGCTCTGCAGTCTGCACATATTGTGAATGCACGCTCCATTAGTTGTGGTTCTGTTCCTCTAGGTTTGTGACTGTGGGCGCTTTGTGGTGATTGTACGACTCTCCTCCTCTCCTGGAAAACATCCTGATGTTTAAGGATGTTTTCTTTCTGGTTTTTTTTTCTTAAAAAACAAGTTGACGAATAAATGATGTTCTTGCAAGTGTGTTTTTTTTATGTCATGCTTTATTTCAGTCTAAAGGTGTGTGTCTGTTTCTCACAGGTGACAGTAACCCCAAGGAGAGCAGCCCCTTCATCAACAGCAGTGATGCTGCTGCAGAGAAGAGCCAGCAGTATGACGGCAAGAACATGGCCTTGTTCGAGGTACGGCCCAGTGTTATACACACACACACACACACACACACACACACACACACACACACACACACCACACACATACACACACACACACACACACACACACACACACACACACCACACACACACACACACACACACACACACACACACACACACACACCACACACACATACACACACACACACACACACACACACACACACGTGCGCGCGTATTTGTTAACGCACACAATTAGGCATGATCAGAAGAAGCAGGATACTCTCGCTCTCACCATTTCGGTGATTGAATAGGGGCTGTGACATCGATTAATGATGGTAATTACTGTGTGAAGGGCATGTGGGAACTTCAGGTTACGGCAAGAAAATCTCACACTGCTACAGGAAGGGAGTCCAACGAGGCAATTTGCCACAGCTCTGCACAACGGTATTTACATTGTGCTCTCAGCGGGATTTCTAAACTAAACAAGAGAAAGAAAACAAAATGGGAAAATGAACAATGTACTGTGTAGGCACTTTCTTTGTTCTCAGTTGGGTTTGCATTTTTGCAGGAGATGTGTAGCACAGAAGAAGGGTCACATACTGTGATCTGTTGACACTCTTGCCACACTACCACATCTGTATTATATATGAGGTTTTGCTCACAGTCTTTAAAGTGTTTTAATTTTCTTTCAGACCTCAGTTCAAAGATACTGACTCCTGCCTTCTTGTCTGTTTTTGTGTCTCTGCAGGAGGAGATGGACACCAGCCCCATGGTGTCGTCTCTCCTCAGCAGCCTCGCCAACTACTCCAACCTGCCCCAAGGAAGTAAGGAGCACGAGGAGGCCGAGAACAACGAGGCTGAGACGTCGCGCAAGAAACCCGTCAAGGTATGTTTCTATATCCATGTAAAAATACAGACTAAAAGATACTGTGCACAAAACATTAATAAAGTGGAGATGAGACCATTTGACTCATTATAGCGTACATTAACTGCAGGGAGAGGAGAGGAGAGCAAGCAGGGGAAATTTGTCTTTGTATTTTCATTTATAACACAAGGTAACAAACACATGTACACAGGTCAAACAAAACAACATCCACATAATGAAAAGAGACATAAAAGAGCTACATCAATGAAGGGCACCAGGCAACAGGTTCTTAATGGTGAATATTGAAGGGTTGTTAAGTAGTAATATAAAGTGCTATGGGCAGACTATTGTTGCAGGCTCAAATGTCCTTAGTAATCAAGATATTTTTTATCCATATATGTTGCGGCCTCTGCAGAAATCAAACACATACTGTATGGCTTGAGAGAAAAGGACACCAAAAGACATATTGGACTTCACACAGTTCACTTAAAGTTTTTCATCACTGAGCTTTATGTAACGTAAATATTTCCCTCCAAAGTAATCAAAGATGAACAATACAACAAATGAAACAAAAGGGACCAGTGACCCCGGCCAAAAAGAACAAAAGACTCAAAACCGTCGAGCCAACCTCGCAATGGTATGTCCCTCTGCGCACCTCCCCCTAAACCTACCTAAAAAAATGAACCTACAGAAAAATAAGAAAACTGAAATTAGGATTACTGGGTATCTCCAGTCCAAAATAACAAAATCCAGCAATCTAAACATGCAGGAGTTTAACAATGTCTAATTTGGTAAAAATGAGGAAAAAAAACATGGGATAGCAAAGAGCTCCTCAGCTATTACTGATCAGTTTGGAGTCAAGATGGATATAGAAACAGTGTGTGACAGTTGTTAAAAATTAGAAGTTTTGTATATTCATATAACAAGTGCAATGAATATGTATTTATCATGAAAACAAAATATTTTATTTAACTCTTAATATCCCAACAAATTTTCCCCCCTTTTGTTTAAAATACCAACATAGATCTAAAATTACACAGAAAAAAAAGATTATAATTGTGAATGCTGTGGCAGATTTTCATAAAGGTATCAGCATTTTATCCACAACGGTTTTTTTAATCAGGTAAATCATATTCTGAACTGGACTGGAGGTCCTAATTTACTTTAAACCACATTGTTCAGTCTCTTTTGTAGCAGCAACACAGACCACTTTCTTGAAGCATCAGTATGTAAAGCTGTGTCAAAATGATATTATCCATATTACTATTGGAAATCAATGAAAACTGCAGCTGATTATCTGACAATTGTGCTGCAGTAAACACAAATACGGTAATGATTTTCTTGGAGGGGGTCATTGTGCCTAATAATTCCAATATTGCATTTGAATGCTGCTGAGGTGTTCATCATCTCTTTATAGCACTTTAATATCATTAAAAAGTTGCTTAAAGGCTGTGTGCTGTTATCAGAAATACATGCTGCAGAGTTTCCATGCTGCTGCAGTACCCAGTGTGACACAGCCAAGATTTATGGCTACAATAAAAAATAATAATGTTCGAATGATGTCTGCAGAAAAAAAGGGGTTTTAGTATGAAAAATGATCCCTTCTAAAACACATCAACTGCATCAGTGTGACGCAGTGTGCAGAGACAAATCACTTTCCTGTGGATTAACACCAGACGACTTGTTCACCTGAAGAACAGTTGTTGAGCTTGTTGCTAAGGCTCGGTCATTAATGTTACTAAATATAGCCTCATACCTTCTGTCAGATTACATCATGAATCCCTACATGCAGAGTTTTTGATTGTTTTGTTAACGCGCTCACTGGGGAGAAAGAGACACTCCACCAGTTTTCGAGCGTGTCAGTCATTCTCTCTTGATATTATAAATCCCCCGGTCGTGTTTCTGGATGGCATCTTAAATGCCACTTACTAATGAGTTCCTTCCACATCATCTTCCCCTGGTATTTTTTTTTTTTTTTTTACTGCTGGGTGTTGAGATGCCAGCCGGAAAGGAGTTTATTTTTCAAGCTCCTTTTTTTTCTCGCTCTTCTCAGTACTTGATCGACAGACAGGCAGCTACATTATTAATCCTGTGGGGAGATGGTGGTTTTTAGCAGAAAGGCGAGATGTGACATTGCAAAAGCTGAAATGAGAAGACACACCGATAATGGCGATGATAATACAAGTAATGAAAGAAGTCCTCCTAAATGAGTGTGACAGACGGCCAGGAAATGGACTGATTCTCATCTTAACATATAACACGCACTTTGAAAACACTCACGGTTGAGACTATTTGAGGTGAAACACAGAAACAATAAGCTAGAGGACATGATCAAACATTAAGATTCATGGGTACCTAGAGGGTCATTTTTTTTAAGGTCTTATCCCAAGCTGCCATTTTTGACAACTTAAGAGTGATAATAGGCTGCAAATACAGCACAACCTAGAGCCTGAAGTTTAGTTGTTTTTCTACACTGAACTAGGGATGGACATGCAAACTTGATCGCATTATTTTCAACTAAAATCTCTCAACAACTATTGGATTGATTGCCATCAGTTTTTCTGCCCTCACAGAATAAAGCACTCTCACAGTGGGGTGGGGATCCTCAGACTCGTCATCCAGCAGGGAGACATTTGTAATTTTTGTCAAATGTTTTGACAACTTATTGATGGATTACAATGAATTGAGCTTCAGACATTTAGGCCGTTTTGTGCCGTGTCTTTAGTGAGCTCTTTCTCTTTCTCTTTAGTGCCATCATTAAATTCATTTTATTATGTCCAACACCACTTTGTAGTAAAGCTAATGACATTTCCATCAGCCCCAGCTGTTCCTTCTGTACAGGGCTAATTATCCAATGCTGAAATACCAACACTTCAAACCATGGTGAACCTGGTAAACAAACAACAAACTTTCAGCCTCTTGTCATTTTTTAATTTTAGCACTTATCACATTAACATTAGCATTAAGCTCAGGATTAAAAGCCTCACAGTATTGCTGCCATGGCTTAAGACTCTTATCCGTGCTAAAAACTAAACTAATCTATCTCAATGACTAAAGACCAAACAACACTTGCAGAAGAAGCCCCGTCAGCTGCATTTGACGTGATGTGATGAAATCCTCTGGATGACAACAGTTTGACATGAATCCATTCAAGCGTGAAACATGCTGTTAAAGCACAGTAAAAAAGTCATTATCATCAAAGGTCATTTCACTGAAAGGAGCCAAAAACATTATCAAACAACGTTGTTTTTCACTGTTATAGTTGTATATAGCCATCTTGTGGTTGTATTTCTGTCTTATTTGCACAGGTTGTCGGATAATTGCGTCCAGCCAAGTCTGATCCAAATTACTTTTGAAAACATAGACAGCAGGGAGGCCAGTTTAGCTCAGCCAGTAGAGCAGGCACCCCATTAAAAGAGACAAAAAAAGTCTTCAGAGCATCAGCTCCAGGTTCCGCCACTGTCATTTATTCTTGGAACCACTTTCTACTAAGGAAATAGTCCTAATGAAACAGTAGATGGTGAAATCTGCGGAGACCTTTAGACAGACCTGGAGCTACTTTCTATCCTGATTGAACAAATGTGCAGGAGTTGGCTAAACAAAGTCCTCATGGAAGTTTTTCACTGGTCTGAAATGTCTTTGTGGGATATTTTCCCCCATTATCCAAGTCCTCCCAGATGTGAGGTGCATTCGCCTGGCTCTCCTCGGCTCGGCTAACCCTGGGAGCAGGTCTAATCTCCCCCCCGTCACCCAGACCCCTTCAATACTTTAATTAGTCTGCACGCTACACCAGGCTGCTGCTTCTCCAATCAGCAGCCCATTCCACAGGCAATCTCTCCATCGCCATGAGAGGCTTTTCATTAGGGCAGCCTGTGGCGTTTTAAAGCTCACACAGCAACCTCTCTCTCTCTCTCTTCCCCTTTCCCTATTGCCTTCCCTCTCCATTTCTCGCTCCACTCCCTCTCTCCCTTCCTCGCTCTCCATCGCCTTCATCATCATCGGCCCCTCGAGTGAGCAAGCAATTGAGCTGTGAGAGAGGTAGTGCGAGGCAGCAGGCTTTCTTTGTCGCAGTGTGAAAGCCAAGATTAGAGATTTGGCTGGCGTGTGACACGAGGGAGCAGTCTGGAGGTCGCGCAGGTTAAGATGGAAACCAGTCACTGCTAATCTGCCTGCGATTTTCTCGTCCCTGACATTTGAAATGCATCGTAACGAGTTTATTTGCAGAGCACCATTCAAACACAGGGCACTTTAAGTGTTTTACATAATAAGACAGAGAAATTAGAGCAACATTTAAAGCTCCTTAAGCAGGTATCAGCTGTGGATTTAATGACTGCATCAGAAGTAGCATTTTAAGAACCCATGGGGAATTATCACCTGACAGCAGGTTCCCTTTGGTCATTTGAGCATTTTAACATTTATCGGCCCTTCGATTTATTAATTTTTTTGTTAGGAACTTTACTGTTTTTCTTAACTTATCCTTTGACCAAAATGTAACTTGATGTATGGAGGGTAATCCAAGCGGGTGACCTGGGTTCAAGTTGACCCATGGCTCCCTTCCTACACGTCATTCCTCACTCAACAATTTCCGACTCTATCCATTGTCCTCTTAAATAATAAAAGCATTAAACCCTCTAAAATCAAGTCTTGGACTTTACTGTTGACTCAAAGATGGACACATTGTAGCTGTTGAGTTACATAAACTCCACATCTTCCCCTTTATCTAGATTAATCACATTTTAAGGAGGAGGTAGAATGTCAATATGGCATCCACCATCACAAGGCTTCACAAAACCTTTTCAGAAACCAATGGATACATCACTGAGACTGCGTCCATGTTTTCTACAGTCCATTGTCGAGACCGGAACAAAGCTAAAATCAATGTTGTAGAAATATTTATCAGGTGGCCAGAAATATGATTCCAAACAAATGTTTATGTTGTCAGCACAACACGTAGCTTATTAGTCAGTATATAAACTTTATTTATGTAATTGTATGTCAGTGCTGCTAACACTGCCAGTGGC